AAAAATGTTTTATTTATGTGTTTTGGGAAGTTCTCGAGGCGTGCTATAAGAACATGTAATGAAAAATTTGGGGTTCCATTTAAAAATTCAAAGTGACCTTGTCCTGACCTTGACGACGCCACTCAGGGTCAAACCAATGTTATCATCTTATGTCCCCCTCGAAACCCTACAACTTTTGTCTGAAAAATTTTTCTCTCCCGGGCTTGATTTTCGAGATATTCGACTGGATGGATTAAAATGGTCCACCCTGTATATACATTCCAGCCAAACACAGATTACAACTACAATATTGCAACAGCATTGTAATATTTCTGCAATGTAGCTGCAACACGGCAGTTATAATCTGTGTTTGCCGAGATGAATGTGACAGGAGGGAAAGATGCATTTGGGTGTGTGCTTGCAGATCTCACGGAGGAATGTCCTTTGACGAAGGAGAGAAGTTACAAGTACAGGCTCTGCGCCTACTGCGGCAGTGGTCTGAAATTCATCATCGTCTGTTTCGTTGCGCTGACCATCGCCATCACGACGATGCTGGTGCTGCAAATTCTTTATACGGAAAGTATACCGCAGGTAGATGTTAAAGAGGGAACAGCAATAAGTCGGTAGCGATCAAATATCTTGACAAGGCACTCTCATGTCTCTCGTTTCAGAGCGGTCTGCACGGCGTTCATGGGGCAGTCGCCACGGATTACTCCAATTGTTCCCAAATCGGCACCAAGATACTAGCGAGACTAGGCAACGCGGTCGATGCCGCGGTGGCAGCGACCGTTTGCATGGCCGTAGTAGCGCCTCACAAGACTGGCCTCGGCGGGTAAGGGAGACACCACGGCTGACCGATTTCGACCATTGGGACTCTCTTTCTAATCTCTTTCTTTCTAGAGGGGGTTACATAATGATATACAATTACAAGAATTACACTCGACCGATTGTCATTGACTTTGCGAGTAACACGACCACAGGTAAATGCAGTTTTTTTTTTAAATGTATTGGTTTTATGCGTATGTAAAATAATAACAAGAGAAATGTTACAATAGGTTTCTTTGCCAAGGCCGGAATACGTTTGCCAGCTCTACTGAAGGGATTGGAGTTCGCTCAAAGATTATACGGCAATTTACCGTGGCGCGATGTCGTAGAACCTACCGTTGAGCTAGCCCGAGAAGGATTTGTCATATCCAAGGATCTCGCGGACGAAGTGTCGAGGAATACGGAATACGAGATATTTTACGCCGGCCCGTTGAATCCAGGCGACAGATTGCAACTGGACGACCTCACGAGGACGTTGGACATTGTAGCACGTTATGGTGCAACAGGTATGTAATCTCCCACACGTCTCATGTCTAGAGATGGAAAATTACCGTCATTTTCAATCTGACAATTACTTGCAGTAAAATTATGGTAAAAATGGTAATTTTTGGTAATTATGATATAAATTTTATTTTTAATAGTTATATACCCAAATAAGAGATCGGAAGAGCACACG